GTCGTGGGAGCGAAGAATGCTGACCGTAACAATGTAGACTTTCTCCTCGCACAAAAGAAACTTTATTGTAGACTTTCTATTTGTCATTGTGAGATTTCTTCATGTGTGTTCTTGTCCGCGTTCAATATAAAGAACGTCTTCGTGTTAGGTTGTCTTGAGTGCGTCCGATGACCTGGGCCCATTGAGTAAAACCCCTTACTTCCCACAATTGGCGAGCCTTGCCAGGATCGGCACTTAACATCTTTCAGCCGAGAATTGGTCGCGCAGAGGATGCCTGTTAACGTGCAGAGAATGCTTTGTATTGGAGAGGAGGTCGGGTGGTCTTGCGCCGACTTAGAGCGAATGTTGCAAGAAGACCTCGAAGAGGAACGCGAGAGGATTGATTTCGAACCGCAGTACATATGCAAAGATGATAATGCCTATGAGCGTGTAAGATGGGAAGCAGAGAAGCTACTGTCGGAAATACGCACGGCTATCTCAAACATACGAAAAATTGCAAGACGAGAAGCAGCACGTAATAAGGCTAATAAGGTGGATAGGGTAAAACCTCATCAATACGAGACATATCTCGCTGGTTCGCTGACACGCAAACACGTGATTGATAAAGAACTTGACATTGTTGCTCCAGATACACAGTCTGCAACTACAGTTGCGAAGCGGACATGTGGTGACAACACAGTTCGCAGTAATAGAGAGCAAGTTAGTCTTTGCCTTCCTCTGTTAGGACCTGTTAGTCAAACTAACATTGTTGCAAACAGATCTCAGTTTGTGACTTCAGAACCGCGAAGTGGTCGCGGTAGCAGGAGTCATTTGAAGGAAAGAGCAGCCAGTAACCATGGTACTGTTGACGTGCAGGAAGCTTGTGTACTTCGCGAAAGCACGCCAGCAGAGTGTATGCTAGGCTTGAGTCAAACAACTACCTTGCCGGCTGAAATGATCGCTCAGAAGCTCAAGTTAAAGGAAGTTCCTGACGACCTTCCTGAAATAGAGCCGCAAGGGCGAAGGTCGGGCAAGAAAGACCTGAACCCCCAAAGCACTAGAGCAGCTAGGAACGCCAATGAGCCCAATATATGGCTATTGGTACCACTTCGGAACAGATGGGCATCTATCCAAAGGAAGCTTGCCCTGCTGTGGGTACCACCCAGCCGGATACTCAGGTACAGATTTCATGGTTGAGTACTGGTGGTTGGATCTTAGCAGCATCTACAAGGCTCCGCGTTACCCAGAAGTGAGCCGAAAGGAAGAATGCTGGTTCTGCACGAGCACATGGAAGAAAAAAGAATCAGCCTATAAAGCTGATGCATTGATAACCAACTGACCAGTGCTCCCATTGTATGTATACTTTTGTGATGCCCACTTGCACCTCTTAGGGATCGTGACATGTCATATGACAGCAGAATAAGTTGAAACGCTCTCCACTTTTGAGATAGGCTCTCGTCAAATCTGTGCAAGACACATTCCTTGGTAAAACGGAGACAATATATTCAATGTGACATCGGAACGAATGCTGCAAATAGTGCCCTTCTGTGCCAGTAAATCTTTGAGTGTAAATTGAAGTGCTCTCTAAGTGCCGGTGAAACACTTGGACATTCTAGCCTACAGCAACGGTGCAACTCCGTCTCGAACTTGTGCGTCTGGACTTCAACCCGGGCAGACATTGCACCGTATGAATGTAAGCAACCAAAGTGTCTATCTGACACCATCTTTACATCCTTCGGCTTTGTCAAGTTGCACGCTCTGTGGACTAGTTCAACTGTAGCAGCCAAAGTGCGTGCAACTTTCTGAAACGGGGGGAAGAATGTGATGACTTCGACGAGTGAGCCGTAGGGATCAATTTATTTGTGATCGGTGGGCGGGGCCGATTAAGCATTTCAGGTGCGCGGGAATTACCATGATGGTGATAGCGGCGAAAGGATGAAGCTCGCCTATGCGCGTGCTCGTGCGCGTACCTCGTGAAAAAGTTCCCAAGCTACGGGGACAGGACCCTCCGTGTCCGGGCCTCGTCTCGACGTTGAAGTCCTCGGGGTGCGTTCTGGACTGGGCATCGCCCCATTTCACCCCCGGGTTGGTCCGAAGCAACGTTCTTTACGGCCAGCTGCTGTTCTGGTCTCGGAGAGAACGTACGCAGCTGGCTTCGATGGTTATCGGGGCTTTCGACCCCGTGTCCTGGGCGCTCGCTTCAGTCGAGCATGACCTGGACGCCAACAAGACGTCATGGTGCGGGACAACGACTTAAGCTCGAGCCAGCGAGCTACACGAGAAGGCATGTCTCACCGTGGACGCTACTGCGATGGACACAACGCCACGTTGCCCGCTGCTGCGGTCACCACAACGACGGCGCGCGTGAGTGTGGTTTTCTACACTTGGTGTCGTGGGAGCGAAGAATGCTGACCGTAACAACGTAGACTTTCTCCTCGCGCAAAAGAAACTTTATTGTAGACTTTCTATTTGTCATTGTGAGATTTCTTCGTGTGTGTTCTTGTCCTCGTCCAATATAAAGAACGTCTTCGTGTTATCAAGTTGTCTTGAGTGCGTCCGATGACCTGAGCCCATTGAGTAAAACCCCTTACTCACCACACATATAGAGGACTTGTAATGATTTGACACCTTGACAACTGGTATGCCATATCTCACTCCTGGCTTTATTGAAAAACGTGGAGTGGGCACTCATGATTTTGCACTGCTTCCCAAGGTATATCTAGAGAAATTACAGCTCTCTCACATGCTGACGGTGCAAAAGCAATATCGACATTTTGTCTTCAGCAGCACTATGGTCGATTAATAACTGCTTTTTGCATCCGACCACATGGCTGCAAGCATTGCTGCACTCTACAATGTGACTGACTGCATGCATCACTCTGATGCACTGAATTGTGTCATCATAATCTCAGATTATGATAAACGAATATCGTGAAACCTACTTATGAGGAACGTCTAGAACTTTCTCAGAATTTCAAGCACTGCAACCGTGCTTCAAGTGCCTTTAAAGCCGCTGCAGTGCTGTTGCTCACGCAAACGCTGCGAGGGCAGAGTGAACAAAGTGGATGTGCAGGTGACGTGCTCATATTAGCCACACACAACTTCACTTCCTGAGCTCTTAATTTTTTGCACCCAGATGCTCCAAAGCCCCAAGTCATAGCCACATGCTGCTTTTCTGTAAAAATGATTTCATTTATTACAGTTTTATCTGAATAAAAATAACATCAAAGCTTTTCTCACCTGTCGTAGAGTTTGTGGGCACGGGTACTTGCACTTGTATCACTCTTCCCGGTGCTGCAAGATAAAGGTCAATTGCTATAGCAACCCCAGCTGGCACGAATACTGCTTGGGCATCACCTGCTTGTGAGCGCAAGCTGTCCTCACCTGCTGTACTGCTAGTGGTCACTGGTACCTCCACTTGTAGCACTCTTCTCGATACTGCAAAATGAAGGTTAGTTCCTGTAGCATACTCGGCTGGCACAAGTACTGCTATTAGAGTGTAGTACTAGATTGGGGGAGCGGGTCCACATTGGGTCTCACTTCTGAGGCGTTTCCTTTCTTTTGAAAATCTAAGTGGCATCATCGTCGCCTTCACATGAAGGTTACCATGGTTACGATTATAGTCGTTATGGTTACAGCCGTGTGTCATGGCCGGCAGCAGCAGCTCTGCCGTCGGGCATCGGTCGTGTCTCAAGCATATCCCGCATTGTTGCAGCAGCATTCGTGCAAAGCCATCGAGGGCGTCATACTAAGTCTCGCGAATAATTAAACTAACGAGAGGCACTATAATAATTTCGCTAACACCCTGTTTGTGGCTAATAGCAGCAGGGCTAGCTTCACTGCATTAGAATCTTTTTTTCGCACTAACAAGGTTGAAAATAGATAGTGAACGAATGGTAAAAACAAAACGCGAGAAGTAGTGCATCAAACAGACAATGCCGCACCGATGTAGACTGCTCAGCACTCTAGAAGTTACTACCGGGTGCTGGCAACCGCTGCTCCAGTGGTCCAACAACTCCGGATGAGCCAGAGCTTCAGGCGAAGGGGATTGCAGCGCCACTGCAAATTTTCAGCGCTTTTTACTTCACCCGTGCCGTTTGCCGCCTGCACCAGTGGACCCGCTCTCCGATTCTAGTACACTCTATAGAAGGGTTGATGCTTGGGCAACTTTTTGGGGATCCATTTCAAAACGTGTTAACAGCGCATAGAATGATTAGGAAAAGGACAAGACAACAGAGGTAAATAGTGCTGACTTCCAACTAGCTTTTATTTCAATAAGAAGTGTATACAATGCAAGGCAGAGAGTGCGAGAACAAAAAAAATAAGAAAAAAGAAACAAGAAAGCATGCACATGTGCAGCGAGCATTGCTTCGTCATTTCACTTAGTTCAGAAATATCACCACACGCCTCCTAAAACCAAGCCAGGTACTCAATTTCTTTATTTAAAAGCTAAAACCTATGCCTTGCCATCACTTTACTCTGATTAAAGCATGGTGTGCACCCACAGTCACGAGAATGAATGCGATGTGACCTTGCACCGTATTGCAGGCATTATTATGGTATTGAGCAAGGTGATGGCAAAGCATAGGGCTCAGACAACTCATGAAGTTATCAAAGCAGATATGGAAGTGTGTTAGCGCACAGTCTATGGCACCTTTAAATCAAGAAATCGATTACCCAGTTTTAGGACGCGTGTGGTGATATGCTCTAACTAAGTGAAATGATGAAGCAGTGCTCGCCGCACATGTACGTTTTTTCCCGTTTCTTTTTTCTTATTCTTTTTTTTTTTTGGTATCACACTTTCAGCCTTGAATTGTATAGGTACATTTCTCGTCAAAATAAAAAATTGTTCGAAGTTAGCGCTCGTTACCTCTGTTGTCTTCTTTTCTTCCTAATCATTCTATGTGCTGTTAACACTTTTTGAAGTACGGTAGTACACTCTAAATGCTAGTGTGCCACCAGCTTGAAAGCACAAGCTGTCCTCACCTGCTGTAGCGCTAGTGCTCACTGGTACCTGCACTTGTACCACTTTTCTCGATGCTGCAAAATGAAGGTTTGTTCCTGTAGCAAACTCGGCAGGCAGAAATACTGCTAGTGTACCATCTGCTTGTGAGCACAAGTTTCCTCACCTGCTGCCAAACTAGTGCTCACTGGTACCTGCACTTGTAGCACTTTTTTTTGTACGAATACTGATTTGGTGCCACCTTGTACTGGAGTCGCTCCTAATTAAAACAAAAAAGTATATGTTATAATACAGTTGAGATCCCCCCAATTCAAATGCATTTCCAAACTGCACACCAATCACACACCTTCTACTCTTGCCTTTACAATAGACAACAGCTGGCAACACAACTTTTCAAGCAAAGATGTACATGTGCACGACTCGTTGCTTCTGGAGATTCCATGGCAACTTTCAGCATAAGGTCCACATGCCTGAACCCAACCTTTTAGGCAAATTGCACATTTCCTGAGAGTAGGTGCCGTGCCACGTGTTACTCATGGTGAAAAAGATGTGTCCCTCAGGAAGGCAAGTTAAATGAGTACCAAGCTGTTTTCTATAGCCCACCTGCATAATTATATAGTAAACATAGATACAGATAGAAACATACTGAAAAGTGGGCAGTTGTTGAAATAGACAAGGGGATTTAGATGCGTTCAACATAGCTCGATATCAACGTCACTTCTTTTAATTGATTGCAGGTCACAAGCAGCATACCAGATAACCACAACTGTGTCTGTCTGTTTGTGAGCCCACTTTAAAAAAAAAAAGACAGGCAATGAAAAACACTTTTTAATAACCTTGTTGTAGGTGAAGGTGTCTGACAAAGCTACACTTCTATGATGCTACTTTCATTGAATCTATAGGAAGTGCAGTCAAAAGTCATCATCACAAACAAGCAAAGCATTGCATGTTGTTTTGCTTGTGCAGATAACTTAAGCATTCATCCATTAATTGTATACTAGGTAGTACCAATATCCTACAAACATTTACTTTTGTGCTACTAAAATGAGTTGCTATCAGGGGTATTTTGGTGACCACAATGCTACACTCACCTGAAAGAGTATTGAAGGGCAATGTTACTGGCACCTGTACTACCGTTGGTTTTGAGTAACAAAATTTCATCGTCCTGGTGTCGATGTAACTGGGTGCCATCATGACCAGGTTCGTTGGCACTGTCGGTGATGCCACAGCAGTTGTTGAGGTGGTTGCCGGTGAAGCAGTCACAGTCGATCCAGCTGTTTGTAGAAATTAGAAGCAGCTTTTATCAGGTTCTCTCATGCAGAGCTCATGTGGATGAGCTTAGCTTAATTTTTAAGGCTCATTAAGCCAAATGTGTCATGCTCGGCTTCCATCATGCAGACACGGAAAAATCTGAACCGCTACAATTCGCCCGTGACGTTTCTGTGGATTTTCAAGTAAACATTAGACCCCACCGATATTACCTGCTGTTTCAAATAGCGTGCATCAAGAATAGGATTGGACAAAATAATGTATTTTAAATAGAAGTGAAGTAAGTATGAGAGCCTCACAGGAATATATATTTGCACATCTAAACTGAGAAAAATAACATACTTCCATTACTATTGACCAAAAATTATTAGGCAGTGCCATCTTGTACACAAGAACATTTATGCACAATGGGTCTATGGACCAGTGTGCACGACCTACCTAAAAGTACATTAAACAAAAACTCATCTAGACAGTCTTTACACTTGTAAGCAAATAGCTTCATCATAACGATAGAACAGCTAGAGTGATGGCCTCACCTAGTACAGTGTTCGCAGCCATCTTCATAGGTACTTGTACAACCCTTGGTGCCATGAGTACATTGGTGAAGTTTGTGTCAGCGAAATTCTGTGTCACAAAGTTCATGCCGCCTGTGGTTGTCATTCTCATCACTCCCATAGATGAGTTTACGAACACTGGAGTGGATGTCGCTGAATGCTGCTATTGAAAAAGGCAGTATGCAACATACACTGGCATCTATCCTACACAGTCGCCATAAAAGAAAGTTTTGGTGTTGCTAACACCTGTGTCACATGGGCACTTTTGAAAGGCCGCAAAGTCACTGAGCATTGAAACATCGCAGTTCCATTGACTCAACAGAGTTGTTACGCTCCTACATGGCAGGCTACAGGGCAGTTTTTTACAGCCGTTAAGCAGTTCGGGTGTTTCTCGCAAAAACTGAGTGGCACTGCAAATTGTTTTCAGTTTTCATGTCATCGTAAGCAAAACAATCTAGTAAATACGCTTAAAAGCACACATACATCTATCATTTTTGTTTTCAATATTTCAATAAATTATTTATATGCAATTATGAATGCATATTTGGTTTTCAAGTTGTTGAATAAAAAAACTGTGGCCACGCGTTTGCAGCTTGTCAACGTTGGCATATTCATGCTGTAGCGCTGTTTCTACTTCCATTACTCAACAGCCATCGAAGTTCAACGGAATCGTGGGGTGCTCCATTGACTTGATAGGCTACTGACTCAATGGACTGCGAAATCACCCACGCAGCAGCACAGAGTTGAGTCAATAGAACATTGGTTAAATGGCCTTCCAAACGCTCGTGTGACACAGGTTTAAGCCGGTTTGGTTAAATGTGCAACACTGGGACCACTACTCTCTAATAATACACTGGCATGCAAATTCAAAAGGTTAAAACATGAACTAGACTCATTTCACCATAGTAGTTATTTTCTGTAACGTCAGAATTATAGAACTGGGCTCAAGGAAATAATAACAAAAGTACAGGCAAATCAAACAGCAGCACTGGTTTGTATGTGACGATGGCTTGATTACACCAGGTCATGATGCCACACTGCAATAACAAAAGGATATGCAGAAGTTATGTTGAAACCTACATGCATCTGTTTACACTTAAATTGTTGAAGTAGTGAATGCTAGCACTAATATGAGGTGCTGTACTATGGGCAAGAAAAAACAATCCAGCCAGCTCCACTAGTCGAAAACTGTCGAAACAGTGAAGCTTGCGCACATCCTTCATCAGGCCATATCGGCTATATTTTTCAAGCCTTCTGTTTATTGGAGCTTAGCTTCGGCTTCTTTTGCATGAACATTGTGTTTGGTCAGGTGACGACATACCTATTCTTGCATCAACTCTCACCAACACTCACGTTGGGCACTATCTTCATCGGGAGTCCTGAACATTCTCACTGATACGCTATTTTACACTCCACTGTTCCTCACCGTCGCACAATCGTGGAGCATTTCTCGGAAGTTCACCCTTCGACATCCTCCGCCTTAGCCTCTCGTTGGAAGCACTCGCCTCTCACGACACACCCTCGCCTCTCGCAGCACACGCATCCTCTCCCTTTCTAGCGAGGCTCACTCTTGCCACAATACAAGACCACGTGATCAGCACTACCACAACGCTGGACTGAAAACCTCGGCTGAGAGCAACTTCACTATTAAAAAAAAAAGCTTTTAAAAGGCTGCAAGTGTACGAAGTATGTCAACAAAGCTGCCACAAATATCGCAGGAATTCAGATATGTCAATGCTGATCTCTGCATGCTGCTAGGTTGACAGAGGCTGCAGACATACAGGACTGAGTGTCTCTATTTTTATTTAATTCCTTATTTCCCTTGAATATTTTTATTTCACTACTCTGCTTCGTGTGAGCAGCTGTGTTGTCTTAGTAGATGTGGAAGACACTTTCCAGTTATCAGTCCATAGCAAAAACCACTTCCACCATGACTACTGCAGAAAAGAAGACCCACACCATTTTGGACCCCCCCTACCCCACCCTCTGCCAAATGCGCATTCTCACCTTTTTTCAACACCCTTAAGGAAAAAGAATGCTTGCTCACTTTCACTTTTCACTCTCTCTCTCTCACACACACACACACACACACACACACACACACACACACACACACACACACACACACACACACACACACACACACACACTATGAACCCCTGTCCTTTGCCAGCGTATGAAAAGATGGCACAGGCAGTACCAGTTCAAAAATGTAGTCTAAATCACTGGAAATGTAGTCTAAATCACTGGGTGCTATATTTAAAGGGACTCTCTTGAGTTCGAACTGATTTTCAATCCCCTTGGAATTCTAATTACCAAGGGCATCAGATAATTTATTACATACATTTGTTATACCGAAGTCAACTGTGACCAGATATACACACAATCATCCTTATAGCACTGTCACAACTGCCACAAAAATACTTCGCTAAATCTGAAAATTCGCTATAAACATATACTTAAAGCACTGTATCTATGACAGAGCTATTCTTCATTTACTTCGTCAGAACTGATAATTTGTTATATCCAAGTTTGTTATATCGAGGTTCACATTAACTCAACCTGCATTAGTGAAATAGAATATTTTTTTTAGTCAAATAGAATGCCTTTTATGTTATACCTTATAAAACTACTTGACAATCCTAACCAGTGCACTTTAATTTTAATTTCAGTGTTTGTAAAGGCTGCTCCTTGAATGTTTTTTTCTTTCCTTTATCTGAATGCGCATCATCAATACATATGTAGACTCAGACTCACTTGCCCCCGCGCCCATGGGCAATCGTATCCGAATAACTTTTGGCGCTGGACGACGTTTTCTGGCTTTCTTGCCATCTCGAGTAAGTCGGCGTAGGCTGGTTGGCTTTATTTTCATTGCCATGGATGCCGCCCCAGGCGTCAAAGTAGTGTCTGTTGCTGCTGCAATGCAAGAGAAACAGTGCACGTTGCAACATCTCACAGAGCGAGAAGCATCTCTTCGCTACTGCTGGCACTTGAGGACCTCCTGCTTGCTACGAAATAGAAAAAGTTTAGGACAAGAGATGAGCTCAACACCAGAAGCTCGGCTGCAAGATGCAACGCAAGATGCGTTATTATATTGTGTAATTTATGCCCACAAATAATTTGCGCAACCCTAACATGTTACGTGAATGACAAGTCACTTGCCCTGTTTACAAATATCTTAGCGCTGACAAGTCCAGTCCAGAGCCCGAGCAGAGAAAGAGATCTTCGTAGTCTTCACCGCGCCTGCGCGCACACAATTTAAAAAGCTGGCAATATGCATGTAGCAATATGCATGTAGCATGTAGCAATATGCATGTAGCGCATACACGTTAGTGCGTATGCTCCACTACACCATAGTTTTTTTTTATTATAAAGAAGTTTTTTTACTTGCATATTTTGAACCCCCTTTTAATGCCCCACAGCATGCATGCATGCAAAAGGCAAGCTAGAGGGGACAGGCGTGGTCGGGGCATAAAAATTGAGGCTGAAACTTTTTACTAAATAATGGTCACATACAGAACCTCATTAATATTCACAAAGATTAAATAATGCTAACTGCTTCGTTGTAATTGCAAACAAACCCACCACATTAAGTCTCCGTAAAGTCTGGCCCCAACTGCATAATATGATCACATTTTGTCAGGTTAAAGGAACCATGGTCACCCGCCAAATTGTTGGTTTCGGCTGAAAATACGAGTAGAGAGTACTACACTCAAGCCTTGTTATAACTTCAGGTCGTGGGTTCGTAATCCCGGCTGCTGCGGCTGCATTTCCGATGGAGGCGGAAATGTTGTAGGCCTGTGTGCTCAGATTTGGGCGCACTTCAAAGAACCCCAGGTGGTCGAAATTTCCGGAGCCCTCCACTACGGAATCTCTCATAATCATATGGTGGTTTTGGGACGTTAAACTCCACAAATCAATCAATCAATTGTTATAACGAACTTGAAGGGGAGCCACAATTATTTCGTTATATCCATTATTTTGTTATTTGATCATAACAGTTGGTCACAATGTATCCTCAGATGATCGCGCACTTATAAGCATGCAAAGAAAGAAACCGCTTCGTGGCCCGATGCACCACTACGCGGCCACGCGTGCGACGAAAAATAAACACAGTCAAACCTCATTAATTTGAACAGGCTTAATTCGAACTTCCAGTTAATTCGAACTCACGCTGAGGTCCCGTCAAAGCTATCTGTATTCCATTGGGCGAAAATGCCCTGTAATTTGAACTGCGCAAGCACTTGTGACAGTTAATTCGAACATACCGCGCTCTGAAAATGCTCTCAGCACCATGGCCGATCCCGCGGCGGCATTTCTCAACGCTGCACGTGAAGAAAGGAAAGACTGTGGCGGATCGTTTGCTCTCTCTCAAATGCCGATCTGCGATGCAGGACGTGCCTGTGCCACGCTTCTCCCTTTTCCGTCTCTGCTCGTAGAGACCCTTCTCCTTTCATGGTCGCGTGCGGAGAGTAGAAAAAAAGAAAAAGAAAGCTGTCGCGGAGCAGTCCTCCATTCTTGGTGCAGAGGGTAGCAGCGGAGACGGAGACGCAGTCGTTACCGTTGTCTTTAAGGCACGAAGAGGGAAATCACTTCGCACCGCGGCGTCTATTCTCGGTCATGTGAGCCGCTGAGCGCTTCCTCAATTCTCTCCGCTGGCTGTGTGAAGAGGACAGCTCTCTCGGCCGCGCGTGGCGTGGCTGTAAGGCCGCGTGGTAGTTTTGAAAGAGCCGCGCCGGACGAGCGTCAAACTCCGCAGAAAACGATATACTTAACACACTATGGTCGTTTTTTTATAGACTAATTGAGCTCATTATATCCACATACCGGTCAATTTTACTTCATTAAAACGAGGTTTAAAATGCATGGTTCTCAATGGAGCTTTTGAGAGAAATTTTATTTACTTCGTTATATCCATTATTTCCTTATATCCCATTATGTTATGACGAGGTTTGAGTATATATGGTCTCACACATGTATGAAAAATAGACGATAAGAGTGTTTCCTTGTAAAATGAGCCCTAGAAGTCGCTGGCTCTATATCCTTCTTCACTGCCAGTGACCACCATTTTGCCATGGCGTGCAAGACGTCATGTTCTTCATCGAGTGGAGCCGTCATAATCTACCTCAGTTTAAGCCCTTGGAAGTCATTCAATTTTCAATGTCAAGCTAAAGAAAGCTGACATAGCTCCACTGTACACGTAGCTGACCATGAAACAAGATTGTTGGCCAGAATACAGCCACTCACAAAGCAAGCGGCTTATTATGTCACCGCTAGCAAGTGTGCCAGTGTCATGGTCTGCCCATGCTGCTCATGTGTTTATAAAGATTTTTATTATAAATTAAGTGCTCAACCAAATGCACTAAAATTTAACCAGCTTGTTTGAGAACATCCAAGGATTAACCCACACAACACAGGTTATGAGTGAAAATTGGGTGTCGTGGCCCTTTAACTGCCCCTCTCAAATTTGGGGGTCGCAGAGTGTGGGAGAAAAAAAAAAGAGAAAAAGCTCTCTTTTCCACAAGTCTACAGCCCAGTCGACCGATGAGACTCTGGCTTGTCATTTATTTGTTTATTTATTTATTTATTTATTTAGTCAATAATACTGACATCTATGTGAAATCGTAGCCAGGAGTGGGTTACCTATATACTTATTTATTTATTTATTTATTTATAAAGTACTGCAGGCCATAAAAATAGCCCAAGCAGGAGTGGGAGGTGGTACAATAATGATATGACCAACTAATAGATGTACAGATGTAGAGAAAGAAAAAAAACAAAGAAAACAACGACAACGACAGAAAAAATAATCAGACAGGTGTACAATATATTTGCGGGTTACACATCTCGCACTTCAAAGTAATTTTCTAGAGATTTTAGAACATTTGCAGACTCAAAAATATGGTGCGACAGCTCGTTCCAATCCGCTATTGCGCGAGGGAAAAAAAGAGTACTTGAAGTTGCTAGTGCGCGCAAAAGCAGGTGTGAATTTGTAAGAATGGTATCCTCTAGTAGGACATGAAGACAACGGAGTGAGGACGTGCGAAAGGTCTATGATAGTGTTTTTCTTAGATAGGCGAAAAAAAGTTTAAGTCTAGCTAGTTTCCTTTGGGATTCTAAAGTTGGAATATTGTTATTAATTATTAGTTCTGTCGGGGAGTCAGACTGAGAGAAGTGATTGTAAATAAACCGAACAGCTAATCTTTGGACTTTCTCAAGATTATTAATATCTTTCTAGTGCGCGGATCCCAGACTTCAGACGCATACTCTAAACAAGGCCGGACTATTGTGTTAAAAGCGAGGAGTTTAGTTTTAGGGGGAGAGCTTTTGAGAACGTGCCTTCGTAATCCTAACTTTCTACGGGCAGAAGAGCAAATCTTTTCAATGTGGCAGGACCAAGTTAAGTTGTTGGTGATTGTGATATTGTGATGCCAAGATATTTATATATATATTTATATATATATATATATATATATATATATATATATATATATATATATATATATATATATATATATATATATATACGCGCACACACACATTTGATATTACATTTTCCAATGCAAGAAGACAACAGAAAGGACTTATAACAAAAAGAGTGCATCGAGGAAAAAAAATCTAGAAGAGTTATAACTTAGAAACATTAAAAAAAATGAGTCAATATAACATTTTTTTTCTTTTTGCAGAGAATGAGCCAGTTCTGCTTTAAAAAGGCACGAAAAACTAATACACGAGAAAAAAAAACAAAAATAACAACAATTCAATCAAGTGATGGCTGGCAGATTCGCTATCACATGCATGAATAAAAAAAATTGTGGACGATACCGCTTTATCGGACAGCGCGTTCCACCCATGTACTGCTGAAGGAAAGAATGATTTTTGGAAATTAATGGTTTTACGTGAGAATTTTGAACTTTTTTGCTATGATTTGACCGTGGTATTCGTGATTTCGATGGTTCAATCTTTTTCCCCAATCGATTTTTAGGTTACTGTACTAAATCCGATAAACTAGTTTCAGTCTTTCACAGGCACACCTGCTGTTTTAGGGTTCTAAGTTAGGGCTTCCCAGGAGGGCTGAAGGGGACGTGCTTCTACTGTGAGCGTTGTAAGTAAACCTTTGAATTCTTTGTATGCATTCTAGTTTTTTAGCATTTGCTAGTGTATGAAGGTCCCATAGAGCAGACCTTTATCAGAATGGGCGCACATACGTTTTGTTCACCAACAATCTAAGTTCTTTAGTAGTCTTGCCAATGGTTCTTGATAAGAACCCAAGTGTTTTCGTTGCCTTTTTTCATGTGTATTCCATGTGTTCATTCCACCTTAAATCAGAAGTATTCTGTAGCTGTTAACGAGAAATATATTGTAACTGTTAAATGCAATAGGTGAAAGGCAAGGGACATTTCTTACATGCAATTCTCAACACTGTCGTGGCCAAAGGAGCTGAATTCGCTTATTAGAAAAGCTTCAATGACAATAAGGATGACTGGATACCGAAGGCGCGCAAGAAGCAAGACAAGTTTACGGAACTATTTTTATGCACAATGAAGTGTGGTAACCTGCAGCTCACACCTTGTTCTTCATTATACTGTAAGTGAATTGTTATGCTAGCAGTTGTAATGATTTTCAAGGCCTTAATTAGTTTAATTTAGGATCTTAAAAACACATATTTTGTATTTCAGATCATCGATATATAGAAATATGTCATGATCCCCCTCGAGTTTGCTATATTCAAGATCGATTGTAATTCTTGCACAGATAAGCATCCGAAATGCGCAAAGGTACGCCGTGATGGTGGCCACCGATGAATCTGCCAGCATGACTAATCATGGGCAAAATGGGGCATCATCAACCACTATAAGCTTAGCAGCTTGTGTGTAATGTAGAGCCAATCTGATTGCACTACCTACTTTTAACAGGTGACATTATGTATGCACAGTGTCACAACTAGATGCCCAGGACTGCTTCAGCTGCGTGTTGCTCGCAGAAACAGAAGCAGCACTGGATTGGCCCAACAACTTCGTTGCCAGTAATGGTGTGCTGCTTCTGTTTCTGCAAAGTGATGAGTCTTTGAAGTGGTCTGGCATGAGAAGCTGGCAGTGGATGGAGGCCTGGCATTTACACCAGTACCAACAGGGGTGAGCCATTCACACTGCTAAGCAAGCAATAGTTAGACATGCTTATCATCCTGGGGTTGATAGTGGTAAACTGTAATAGCCTGTTCAATGGCAGCTGCCATCACGCCTTTACGTATTTCATATGCTGATCTGGAGGCACCGCTGCACTAACACCATTATCATTATCATTGGTCAAACAGCCTCTGTGTACAGTAAAATCTCGTTAATTCGACCTTTGTTAATTCAGAATTTCGGTTAATTCGGCTACAGGCGTCTGGTCCCGTCCAAATTGTCCATTGTTCTATGGCTGAAAACTCTCATTATACGGACAAATTCGGCCGCACTTCGGTAAATTCGAACGCCCGACCGCGGTCAAGTCACGACGGGGAAGCAGTCTGCCAGCCAAATCGACGGCGCACCTACGCAACTTTGGGATTGGATTGCGGCCTCTGAGATTCAAAACTTTGTCCATGGGTAGTACATCTTGGAGGCACCTTCCTCCTCCCCCCCCCCCCCCCATCCAAAAAAAAAACACATGGTGGTTTAAACAATTAAAATAGAAGGCAGTGCATTGCTAGTGTCATCAGCAATGGGCAACCTATGGATTTGCCTTTCCTTTTTTCTTGCGCGTCGAACACGTTTGTGTGACGGTCGAGTTGAATTGCTGACCTCTAGCGTGCTTTAAATTATTTATCTGTACGTGATCAGTGCCATCTGCAGTCTTACTGTTTACTGTCTTTTGAAAAGTTTGCCGGTTTTTGTTTCCTTTTTATCGCCGTGCATTTGTGTGTGTGTGTGTGTGTGTTGTGTACTTCATGCGCGCGTGCGTGACCACCGCGCGAGCGACGCCGGGATGGCTTCCCCTTCGTCTCCTGCGGCCCCAACCGCCCCAACTCCCGCAACGAAGAGGGCGAAGTACGAAGCAAAGAATTTGGCTGCGAAGGTGAATACATTGAAGGCGCTGCAAGCGGGAGCATCTCGAAAAGAAGTGATGAAAAGTTCAATGTGAAGAAAAGCACGCTGAGCACTTATGTGAAGAACAAAGAGCAGATTACGCAAGCGTATGACAAGGACATGTTTGCGACCAAAGAAAGAGGCTTCGAACGGCAGCGCATCCCAAGCTAGAAGAAGCTCTGTTGCGCTGAATTACCGTTTCGCGCGATGCGCGTTTGCCCTTGAGCGGCCCCCTTATGCGCGCACAAGCACAGAAGTTTGCGGTGACCATGAAAATTGACTCCTTCAATGCGTCCGAAGGCTGGTTCGACCGCTTCAAGAAGCGACATGGGCTGGTGTTCCGCAACGTGTGTGGTGAAAGAGGTGCGGTTGACGAAAGTGTTATGCAGGACTGGCGGTCTGGACTATCCGCGTGCCTTTGTACATACGAGCTGTGAAACATTTTCAACGTTGATGAGACAGCGCTGTTCTATAAGGCTCTGCCTGACAAGACAATCGCGTTTAAGGGGAACCCGTGCGTCAGTGGAAAACGAACTGAAGGGCTCGTGACAGCTTCTTCTGGTTCTTAACATGACCGGCACAGAGCGGCTGCTGCTGCTGGTGATCGGGAAGGCTGCGAAGCCAAGATGTTTCAAGAATATTAGGCAGCTGCCTGTCGAACTACCGGTTCAACGGAAAGGCTTCGATGACTGCCGAACTCTTTTAAGCCTGGCTGCATGAGCTCGACCGCCGCTTTGCGGCCAAGGCTCGGAAAGTGTTGTTCGTGCTAGGACAACTGTAGTGCGCACACGAAGGTGTCCGGGCTCGAGAATCTTGAACTGCTATTCCTGCCTCTGAAGACAACGGCTTCCCTGCAGTCGATGGACCAGGGAATCATACAGTTCGTGAAAAGCCGCTATCAACGGCAGGTACTCGAGCGAATGTTGATCTGCATGGAGTCAGGCAAGCAGTACCAAGTAAGCCAGCTAAGCACAATCCACATGCTGACATACGTGTGGAACAACATACCGCCTGCAGTAGTCGCAAACTGCTTTAGGCATAGCGGCTTCGTGCACGACGCTGCTGATCCTGGGGTGGTGGCCGATAAGGAAACCGGCGAAGAGCAAGACAGGCCGCTATGTAAGCATCAGGCCAGCTGATGTGCCCCTGGGCGATTACTTCACAATTGACTGAGATGTTGCCGTGGGCGGTACAGTGACCGACAGCGATGTCGCCGCCGAAGTCTTAAATGGCGAAGGGGAATCGGCTGACAAGGACGCAAGTGATACTGAGGAGCGTCCACGCCACACTATGATGGAGGCTGTGCATGCGTTGGCCATTTTGGAGGACATATGCATGCTTTCCTAGGACAGTGTGCGTGGGCTAAGCCACCTACAGGAACTTCGCAAAATTGTGACTTCGTCACACATTGAGCCCGTGATGCAAACTGCCATCAGAGACTTTTTAAGAAATAAAAGTCTGTGATGGCAGACACTGCTTCTAAATACCAAATCAACTCAGCATAATTAAATTTGGATAAAAAGTCTCATGGTGTAGGAGACATTTTTCAAGTGTTTTCTTCATACTCGGGATAATTCGTACTCTTGGTTAATTCGGACATTCTCTTCGGTACCGTGAAGTCCAAATTAACGGGGTTTCACTGTATACTAAGAAAGTGAAAATTGACAAGCTGTTTTTGGCAAGAGACTACTTGGATCACGTATGGATAGAATCCCGTAGACTCACATTGGGTAGAAATCTCTTGAACGGAACTGCTGCTTAAACAGAACAACTGCCTCTAACGTTATTGCTTTTGCACTTGAATTCTGCACCCACTCATCATTTCTCAATAAATGGAACTCTTGTTAAACAGAACACATTTTCCTTGTCTCTCCAGGTTTTGTTTAAATAAAGTCTGGTGTATATGAGTTGCTTGAAATATTTAATTTTTCAAATATGCACTTTTTGCATCAAAACGCTCGTCCAATATTAGTAAATTTAGTGTATTACCACACCTATATACCGATTTTCTAACACCTGCTGGACTAGAAAAATCAACAAGCTGACACTGTACTGTTTAATATTAGTGCAACGGTCAGGATGACCCCCCCCCCCCCCCCTGTAGTACGGTCAATTTATTCAATTAGCCAAGTGACCAGGTAAACATGCAATTTTTGTCAATTACTAAAGAACACACCCCGAATAAGAGAAATACTATAACTCACAGGCAATGAGTCTTCCATCACGCTCATTTTTGTACTCTTCCCAGGCTAACTTATGCTCTTCCTCCGTCAGTTCTTCTGTTTTGTCATTCTGGAGCAGTGAGTCATGCTCATGGTAGGACACAATCCAGTCTCTGTTGCGAATCAGCAGCTCTGCCAAAAGCCGGTCCTAGCAAACATGATGCGGCAAAATTAATATCACAGCAATAATATCAAGAAACAGGAAAGGAATGTGATCCAAAATATTTGTTGAAGTATATTCTTTGCATATGTGTAAAGAAATTTGGTCAGAAATTTCCACCAGATGGGGCGTACAATTCAATATGAGCTGATGTTCATTTAGAATCATTTTGAATTGTATGCCCCATCTTGCCTCAATCTTTCTCAATTGGAAGAGGTCAGCAACAAGCCTAGCAGAACTTTTTACTTTGAATCCAGGCTGAAGACACTGCTTCTAAATACCAAATCCACTCAGCGTAATTAAATTTGGATAGAAGAATTGCAAGGACTTCATTATGACTGTTAGTTCATTACAGTAATTGCTTGTTTTCACAAGCAATGCAAAGTCATCACTAGCTTGTGAAAGTATTGAATTGCTCACAAGCAAACTGAAAGTCAAATCGAAAACCACCTGATCTCAGTATAATTAATATTAAGATCAGATGATTTCATTATAGCCTGATAAGAATATTTCAGCCCACCAACTTGTTCAGTTTCATACCAGTTAGTACTTGCCTTCTGGCGTGCTATAAGGATTTGGCTTATCGATTTCAAGAAAGCTTTTGCTTCATTAAAATTGCATCTTTAAATGCATAGATTTCTGAGGTTACTTGAAAAGAGTTGCAATTACTTTGTTTTGCTATTCATTGCTAAGTTATACTTTAACATTAGTCCAAGTTCAATAAGACTACATTTTTTATTTGTTTAGCACAGTATGTACAAACCATATGGAAACATCACAAAGGAAGTCGATTAACAGCAAACTAACCAGTGCACAATATGAGAGCAACCAGTATTTTGATGCGAAATTCTATAAGCTGCACACTGCCACATCTCATCTTCTTGAAGCATGGTTGAGTTGTACTTACGCTTGGCACCTTGGGTGTGGACTGTGGTTCATCCTTTCCCACTGGATTGAATGTGTACAGATCAACAAGCTCTGCTGCATTGAAGAGACGCCCGACGTGTCGCTTGTCCACCACACGGCAAGCCAGTGCCAGTTTGGTCACCTGGCGGTAGTAAATCTTCTCCTCCATAGTCCCCTGAGTCAAGGTAAAATATCACACTTGACCTATCCAAGCTCTACATCTTCTACGAGCTTACGAAGTACCATAAAAACCGGAATATAGGTCGACCCCCCAAACTTTTATTCTCGGAACAAGAAATTTTTAAAAATCCCAAAGTATCGCGGTGCACCCTTACCTTGCTAAAAGCGCGACACAATCAGCTGCACTGTGGTAACATTTTATTTTTTTGGAACACTAATCTTATGTAGTTAAACACCAAAAGGCCACCAAGTGCTGTCATTCAGACTTGTCTAAACTTCAGTCCGACAACGTCTGTTTGTCACTAGTAACGTCCCAGAGTGAATCGTCGCCTGTTCCATTCAATGCGTTACCGATGCAGCATTTGCAGAAAAACAGAAGTACGGCACTTCAGCTCAAAGCCCTTTTGCTTCATAAATCGGCGCAACCACGATGACGATCCCTTGAATTGAACACTCATAAGCCCACAGTCACACGCTATCTCGAGAGCTTTCATGCGTATGCACTCCACTGTTACGGGTAGCAATATTGCACGCAGCTCCAGGACAAATTCGGCGAGTAGTGTTTCCAGTTCGGGATGCACTGTCCACGAAACTATGTTGTTGTTTTTTCTCCAGGTTGTGATACGTTGCTTATTGCTCCTCCAATATTGGACTGCTTTTATCCGATGCACTGAATTTTTGTTGTGCCACCAGAATGCTCTACGCTACGGCATCCTCAACTTTTTTTTCTTAAAGCCTATCATAAACTGCCGTAGACTACCACTTATTTCTGGAGGAAATAGAAAAAAAAAACGCAGACTGACAGCAGATAACCGAGGCAAAATGGTATTGCTAGTAATTGTACTGTAGGTTTTGCCTAGCCTTGCCCAACGGCGCCACTGCTGATGCTCACAATGGCAATGAAGGCTTTCGACTTCTGGTGTCCATTGTTGCGAGACTTTCACATTTTTTTTCCGATGACCGGTATGTAAGACGATGGTCACTTTTGATTGTTCTTCTAGAAAAAAAAACTCGTCCTATAATCTAGTAGATGTATTACACCATGACGGTGAGGCAACAGTGCACTGAACATGCAAAACTAATTGTGAGCAAATAGGCAGTGGGATTAAAGAGACAAACAACTATAATTTATGCAACTATTTTTTTTCTTTAGCATAAATAAAACTTGCCATTCAGAGAGCCCAATTCTGTAGTAACAGCAACTGGAACAGTTTCTACAACAGCTTCTTTATTTGTAGTCATAATCACATTAATGCAACCTTTGTGGGAATTGAGGCTAGCCCGCTGCCTTTGCGCGGGCTTTGCCGCCTTTTCTGCCGTTCTCATGTCCCGACATGTCTGCCCTACTTTGCTGTCTGCCGTGGTGGGAGAGCGGAGTGACGTTTAACTCCCTTACCCGGAAGCAGGATATTGACTGTGGCGCCGCGCGCGGGGACTCCGAGAGGTTTTTGCGCGCTGCGTCGGGAGCGGCCAGATACTCTCCGGGACAGCAAACGATGAGCCACGCAATCTTTTCCGTCCGTCGACTCTCGTCCCTCAGGGGCTCGTCGGACTTCGCTGACGGCGCCTCGCGCCCGTGGCGAACGCTCACCTTTTGTTGCCCCGCTGCGTACAGCACGGCCGAAGGGCGGTATGGTGTCCTAGCGCGTGGCCTCGCTACGCCGACCCGTCTCCCTTCGAAGCCAACGCGAGCGCCTTTGCCCTCGCTCGAGCAACCGGGCCTTTGTTCCGGTGCTCTCCGTGAATCACCTTTACCGCGGAGACGTGCTCGTGGCACCCTGTGTAGTACTTTGTGCCCGTGGTGTGGATTAGTCTACTTGCTTTCCCACCGCGCCTTTTTGCAACGGGCTGTACTGCGTTTGGTGTTGCCACAATAAAGTGTTGCGACTTGAGCAGTATCGTGTTTCCCGCCACGGCGACGGTTAACGCGTGCCCTGCGGCTCGCTAAGACCGGACCCACGCTGGTGGCCGTACTCCTTCGGGTTACGTGTACACCACACCTTTGATGAAAATATTAACAAGCAAGCACAAAAGCAGTTGTACACGAGCATAAGAGTAATTCTGAAAAAATGTGACTGCAGGCCACGTAGGACATAGTCGCAAACTCATACACACACTACAGCACTCATGTAAGCGGCCATGCAATCATAGGTGCCCCAGTTCTGTGGTATTGTTCATCACCATCAGGCCGGCACTGTATGAAAGCGTGGACGTTCATTACATCGTAATACGCAAAGACAAAATGTGCAGCTGCTTCAAAATATTTGTGATGAGACAAAAATAAGCAGTACTCAATGTGATAAATTTATGCTGATGTCTGTTATAGCATACCGGGGCACCAAAGCAACTGCAAGGTATCACATTACTACAGTGTTGTGACATGCAGTTTTTTGCAACTTCTTGGAATCGTTAAAAATTGTAGTTTACATTTAGCTGCAAAACATCTTTCGTGCAGCGCAAAGTGTGCTCCCTTTATTACACAGATTTTATGACACTTGCATGTTCTCATTCGTTTTAAAACCACCACAGTTCTCATATGGCATTTCAAAACTGTCACAATGAATGTTACTATATGTACAAGCAGCTCTTCAAGTCTAACATTCTTACTACCAATATCACTAACATCACTCTGAGCCTTTCTAAGGCCATTACACCAACTTGACTTATCATTACTAAATTAGCTCATAGGAGTATTAGAAAAATCATCATTGCTAGCGTAACAAAACATAAAACCTCAGTATAATGAAGCTTTAATTGGAGAAAGAAACTATCTCGTGAAAGGCATACTGTAATGTATTAAGTAGAAGCTTACAGGAACTTATGTTTTCAGAGACGTGTTAATCATAACCTGTCATACAAGTAAAATAAATGCTCAATGTTACTTTCAAAACAACACGCACTCACCTGAGCAAGTAGGCGATAGATGAAAACTGGCTTCCTCTGGCCAAACCGATACACACGGAAGATGGCCTGCGTGTCATGCGTGGGGTTCCACGAGGCATCCATGAGCACCACACGGTTCGCACCCACAAGGTTAGTGCCCAGTGAGCCCGCCCTAGTCGACACAAGGAACAAACGACCACGATGATTGTTTTCATCGTTGAACATGCTGATCCAGCGCGAGCGCAAATCCACCGATGTGGCACCATCAATGCGGAAGTAGTCGACGCCCAGCACCCATGTGTTGTGGCAGTCTTTCAATGGGTCAGCGGGGTCTGCGACATCTGTTTCGGTCTCTCCCAGTTGCTGTCCGCCCGTTGCACTGCTCGAGCATCCTCTCCACTAAGTCCAGAGTCAGCAGGCTCTGGCTGAAAAGTAAACTTTGGGAAAGGAGGGCCCTATCATTCACTGATACAATATATTTGCACGTATTACACACACATAAAAGTTAAGAAACTGAAGTGAGAGATCAAAAACATAAATTCAGGTTTGCAGAGGTGGCTTATGGTAGAGCATCAAAGATATGCATGAAAGTTTGCTTCGTCGACAATTGTCAGAGATAATTTTTTCAATATTTTCCGCGAATCGTTGTTAAGGGTGTGGGTTGACTGCAAGAAAATACAGTAACTATTACAAATAACCTACACACAGTATAGAAAATGTAGTGAACTCAAAGGCCCCTAACCAAGTTTGACAATTTTGAGCTGACGAGCGCAATGCATACACTGGGCGTTCCCAGTCACGTCTGCCAATATTCACAATGCTATGCACCGCGAAAATGGGTCAAATTCCAAGCTGAACACTGCTTGCCCTTCTTCTCACGTGCACGTGCCCAGGTAATGAGGGGATGACGTAGAGGATGGAATTGCCCTATGTAGACAGTAGTGCTGCAACGTCTGTCCTGTACATAAACAACTGTGCTCTGACATCGTCAACAGTAGCACGTGACACGGCGAAAATTATTTGACACGACATGTGTAGTTTGTGCAATTTGTTGCTTGAATAGATGAATAAAGCTTAGAGAAATCATGAGACACACAAAAAGAATGTGTCCGTCTTTTTCATCCCCCCACCCCACCCCCCATTAATTGCAGCAATACATGCATGGAGGTAATGTGCCTTCGTTTCGCATGCATTCTTGTCCCCGTGGTTAACGCATCAAGCGGTCACCAGCACTGGAAACGAAAGTAATGTTTTCGTGCATTCAAGTACTCTTTACACTTATTTTTTATTACCCCGTCCAAGTAAATGTTAATACTGCAATGGCTCATGATACTGCCACTTTTGTGTCAGTTTGGAATGTCTCAGTTTTCATACTCGGTAATAGGCTGCAAACCTGATGATCGGCGAGCCAGTAGACCACAAAATAACACTGGTTAGCAAAACAACAGCGCACACATGTTCGGGGGCTTGAACTAGCTCAGGCTCGTCATGCGCACATGCCCTGACGTGCACGTAATGTGTTCCTCTCGCTCGGATGCCAGAGAGGGTAAGGAAGGGATTTGTCTTGTGAAGGATACGCAGGACTAGCGGCAAGGGTTTCGAGTTCATCTCCTTGCATCATGGTTTCGTGCCAGTTTGAAATACGCGTTTTCTCAGCTCGTAATAAACCGATTGAAAAAATTTTTGTGGCATAATGCTTTTCGTAGGACGCGCAGCAACTGCCACCATCTAATTAAAATTTGTCATGGGGCCTGCTGAGGGACCCTTCAAAGATGTCGTGCAACATTTTTCGAACATAGACAGAAAATGCTGCCGATTGGTAGTCAAGGATACCGAGAACATGTGAGCCAAAATTTAAGAGTTATAGCACTGAATGTGTCCAGGAACTTTGAAAGCATCTTCAAAAGTGACTGATTGATAATACCAACCTCCCCAAATTCTCATATCCAATATTCAAAGCCGTCACAGCAAATGTTATGACTAGCTACACATGTAGCTCTTCAATAAAATTTTTGCTGCCAATATCACCAACTAACATGAACTGAGGCCCTTTGCAAGGCCATTGCATCATCAACTTAACTACTTGATTACCCTTACTAAATCAACTTATTGCGATAATTGCACAATCCCAATTTCCAATCAATTCCTTGATTGATATGTGGGGTTTAACGTCCCAAAACCACTATGATTATGAGAGACGCCGTAGTGGAGGGCTCCAGAAATTTAGACCACCTGGGGTTCTTTAACGTACACCCAAATCTGAGCACACGGGCCTACAACATTCCCGCCTCCATCGGAAATGCAGCCGCCGCAGCCGGGATTCGAACCCGCGCCCTGCGGATCAGCAGCCGAATGCCTTAGCCACTAGACCACCGCGGTGGGGCTCCAATCAATTCCTGCCGACAAAAGATGCCTTTATCCAAAATGACCACATCATAGACACAAAATCGGCAGTCATTGGCTGACTTGAGCGTCGCAAGCTGCATGGTTACGATGGCCATTATCAGATGTCGCAACATGCAAGCACGCACTCTTGCGATCGCACTGAAAGTAAGCCATGCATACAAAAAAAAAAAAGAAACGAAAAGAACTAGTGTAAAGTCATGAAATACACTGCTAAACGGATGAAGCTTCTTGCCACCTTATTATCTTCCCATCTCTCTGCGCAGCTTTCGGTGGGCTCGCTGGTACTAAATGAGATAAATGGCACTTAAGTTGCGCAACAAATTAATAAAACTATTAATACAGTTAAACCTCCTTATAACGAACCTATATATAATGAATTCATCTATATAACAAACTTTTTCTATTCCTTGTCGTTTCTCTATAGAAGCACATGTATCTGCGACCTCTATGTAACAAACTAACAGCGGGAGACAACCTTGATATAACGAATTTTTGCCACAAATAGTCTAAAAGTTCACCCTGGATTTTTGTCATTTTGACACGAGCATGCGTCATCCACTATTGCCCTGCCGCCAAAGCTTCGCGCTCCTGGTCCCTGTGACTCCCAAGTGAGAGAGAGCGCTCATAGTATTGCGGCCGGGTGTGCGCAAGGCGGGCAGGCGGGCCTGCGCCCCTCGAGCCAGCGTTTTCATCGTTGTTGCTGCCAGGGGCGCATGCACGGATGTGCCCTCCCCCTCTCTTTAAACCAGAAACAAAAATAGAAAACTACTTTCGTGTTGACAGTGCCATTTTTCTAGTTAGCGTCATGCATGAGGGGCTGCACTGCATATGAAGGGCGCTTTATCAAATAGCTTTCTGAGGTATCTGTATCATTCACTCCTCATTTTCGACAGCGCACGCGCGGGCATGGTGTCACTGCGCGCACATGGTGTGGCCCCCTACAATGTTCTACCTTGCTTTTTTTCTTTTTTCTTGAATGCGGACAACCGTGTCATCACTACCAAGGGGATGTCAGGTAAGGCACTCATGGAAACTCTCCAAGACCACGGTGACAATGGATCTTTGGAGGTCCACTTGTCATGTGCTTCCATCTTGCGCGCGAGTTCGCGGACTATATCTTTCGTGATTAGCGGATTAGCTCTGACAACACGACAGCGCGTTGAATACAATGCAATGAATACGACATCAATAAATTGTAATGTCATACGAATTAAGTAAGACCAGAGATATATAGCATAGCCAATCATAAGGTAGATTGACAACTATGCTTTGTATAATGTCAAGGCAGAAACATATAAGCAGCTGGAGCTTACACTTTGTCTCCAATGGCGTCGCACTCCTGGAGGATGTCATAAAATAAGGTGAGTTTCCCACTGATCTGCAGCTTCTCGATGTCTTCTTCAGAGACAAATTCATCCCACCATTGCTTCTTTCTCTGCTCTTGTGGTGTAGGTGGCCGGTTGTCTACGTCCCCTGGTAATAAAAACCAAGCAATCAATTTTACATCTAGTTTTCACAACCTTTTGCATTTTTTTAGTGGAGACATGGCTCAGACTGCTCTATATACTATCGGCACAACTTTAACTATGGCTCACAAGTTCCATATCAGCATTGCTGTAATTAAGCGAGCATTTCTCAAAAACCTAACAGATTGCTATGCACATCCTCCAGCTGCTTCCCTCTGTGCTAGCATCGTGCCGCTTTTTATTTCAGAAGCAGCTTCAGAAGCAGCTTCAAAGCAAAAATAATTTGCAGTCCTGCCTTCAGACTGTGGGGAACATGCACAAGCACTCCAGTGCTATCCCTTATGAAATCTCACAAAGCAAGCTTGTGATGTGAACCATAGGCTTAGTATCAAACACTGTGCTCTAAGCACTATCCCCAACAATGTGCACTGAAAGTTTAGATAGCAGTTTAAATTATTTACAAAAATTATTTACAAAGACCTGGATATAACGAACCCAGTTATAACAAAATACTAGTTATAATGAAGTATATGAAACGTAGTCTTGCAATAGATATAGCGTTAGGAATAAACTTTCATAGCGAATTTTCAAATATAACGAACTTATTTTCATGTAAGATGCAACTTTGTTATAATGAGGTTTCAGTGCCCAACCAAAAAAAGGCAAAGCGAAACTCAGAGTAACATGAGATTGGCAGGGCCATTTGCAAACGAAATACAGCTATACAGTTGAAACCACTTATAATGATTCCAGATATAACTATCTATAGGCTATAACAACCATATTCCGATGCACTCACATTTTTCCTATGCTACCCAATGAAACAGTCCACATAAGTGAACATTCATTAAAGCCTCATATTTTCACAATGAAGACTTCTGAATTGGTTGAGGTAAAAATGTAGCGCATATGGGAAAAAAACAAGTTAAAACAGCCATTTTAAGGTATGAGAGAGGCATACGCTTGCGCATGCCACGCTGCTGTTTACTTGCAATGAAGATATAGAACGTGACACGCCCCGCACACAAATTTTGAATGCTGCGAGTGAGGTCACTCACTTTTCAGACATTTCTCCAGTGGTACAATGGTAGTGAGAATATGGTTGTGGTATAGTGGCAGAGAGCATGAAGACTTGTGGTCAACTATTGCAAGGCAACTTTTTTTTTTCCCCGACCTGCCCATGCCTTTACGACCGCTTACGATAAACCAACAATGCCTTGGAATGTAATCAACCATTATTGGAAGAAGTAATAACCTCTCGTTGCATAAAAGTTCACTGCGACCCTCAACTTGCTGGCGTCACAATGTGCCGCAAAATGTCTTTTATCTTTTCGGCAATGGAAAATACCAGTCAATTAGTGATTACGACTTCCCCAAAATAAGTGGCGATGCCTTCACGAATAAGCATCAGAAAGGAGCGAAGGTAAGGTGACGGCTAGCGATGAATGCGCCATTGTGCTTTTCCCTGACAAGCTTAACCGAAGTCATCTGCAGCTATCAGCTCAGATGCACAAGTAGAGCAAGCCATGCAGAGTAATGGTGGTAAAACAATGCCATGCTGCCACTCGCAAGTTCACTGCCGCATCATGGAGGGCCACTTGCGTATTGCCTGCACAATGCTTGTCTTGATTGTGTTAGACGAACAGGCTATTCGCTGTAGCAATGTACGGTTCAGTGTGAAGCATACACAAAGAACGCACAAGCATGCGCTTATATTAGACTGCAAACGACCCAACAGTGACGGCATGAGCCAAGTAAGCAACGTGCTGCATGCAACTAGCCAGGGACTATATGTTACTTATGGCGGTACCATGCCTCAGTGAAACCATGTCAATTCATTGAAAAGGCAGTTTATTTCACTCGTGAGCAGGCATCACAAAACACAAGAAAAGGCCTAACTTGTCACCAGAGGGGTTTTAGCACTTTTTATTAAAGAACCACACGAGTGAAGAGGTTTATTAGTCGTTAACGACAACTGGCAAGACAGCGTGAAGAACCGTCCAGCAGAGATCAGCACAGCAGCGAACCGAAGCACGAGCCGAGAGAGCCGGGTGTTGGCGATGCTGCTCGCTGCAAGCACATCTTCTTCACAATCGCCCCTGCTGAAAAAAGAGCCATCCTGGCGACCTAAGAAGTTTCAGGCAGAGGCTCAGGCGGGAAACATGGACGATGTCACGCGCACGCCGGTGCAAGTCGTCCGATCAGGAAACTGGCTCAATTAGGAAATTAACCGGAGAGGTTTTCTCCAAAATGGTGTAAGGCCCCTCGTACTGAGGGACAAGTTTCGAGGAGAGTCCCGGAAGTTTGGTATGGGATGGCGAGCCAGCACAAGAGATCCTGGGGCATAGCTGTGATTTGAAAGGGCGGTGCTATGGTGTTCTTTCTGGCATTGTTGCTTTTTCAAGATGAAGGTACGGGCGAGCTGGCGGCACTTTTCGGCTTGTCGAGCAGCATCGGAGATAGGTGGACACTCGGATGCATCAGGACGGTAGGGTAGTAGGGTATCGATTGTATGGGAAGGCTCGCGTCCGTAAAGAAGAAAGAAAGGTGAGAATTCCGTGGTGGTTTGTATTGCGGTGTTATATGCTAATGTGACGTATGGGAGAACACAGTCCCAGTTGCTATGATCAGATGCCACGTACATTGAGAGCATATCACCCAGCGTGCGGTTAAATCGTTTCGTTGGCCCGTTAGTCTGTGGGTGGTATGCTGTCGTTTTCCGATGAATGACGTGGCATTCCGAAAGCAGAGTTTTGACGACCTCGGAGAGGAAAGCGCGGCCTCTAGTCACTAAGGAGCTCTCGAGGTGCACCATGTCGAAGGATAAAGCGACGTAAAATGAAAGAGGCGACATCCTGAGCTGTAGTGCTCGGCAAAGCGGCTGTTTCGGCAGAGCGTGTCAGGTGGTCAACTGCCACTATAATTCATTGATTACCATCTGGTGTCAATGAAAGGGGGCCGTAGAGGTCAACGCCGTCACGATCAAATGGCTTGGCAGGGCATGGAAGTGACTGCAATGCGCCAGTCGCACGTGGCAGTGTTAATTTGCGTCGCTAGCAGTCAGGACAGCACTGCACAAATTGCGTACAAAATTGTACATGCCGCGCCAGTAATAGCGATGGCGAAGGCGTTCATATGTTTTGAACATCCCGGCGCGGCCACATTGCAGATCATCGTGAAGAGAGGCACGTACTTGCGATCGTAAAGTGCGTGCAATGACCAGTAGCCACTGGCGGCCATCGAGAGCGTAGTTGTGTTGATGAAAAAGTTGATCGCGAATGGCGAAATGGAAAGCTCGATTTCGGAGGGATCGAGATACTGGAAGGTTGGGCGTGCCAAATAGATATTCGATAAGAGATGCGATCCACAGGTCACGACATTGTTCAGTGGCAATCGAGTCGAGATTTAGCGATGACAAGGTCTGGAGGCGAGTGTTTCCGCACGACGGATCTGGTGGTAAAGGTGAGCAGGACAGGTCATCAGCGTCAGAGTGTTTGCGTCCGTAGCGGTATACGACGCGAATGCTGTACTCCTGAATGTGGAGTGCCCATCGCGCAAGGCGGCCAGAAGGGTCTTTCAAAGTGGAGAGCCAGCAAAGTGCGTGGTGATCAGTTACTATATCGAACGGGCGGCCGTATAAGTATGGCCGGAACTTTCCAAGCAACCACACCAGAGCCAAACACTCTTTTTCTGTCACGCTGTAATTAGTTTTGGATATCATCAGAGTGCGGCTAGCGTAGGCTACAACGTATTCTGAAAAGCCGGGGTTTTATTTGACCGAGGACAGCACCTAGCCCGACGCCATTGGCGTCGGTGTGCACTTTCGTAGGAGCCATCGGGTCGAAGTGGCGAAGAATAGATGGGGAGGTGAGCAGACGGCGCAGAGTAGTGAAGGCAACGTCACATGCAGGGAACCGGGAGGAGAGGTAGATGTCACCGCGAAGAAGCTGAATTAATGATGACATGATAGATGCAAAATTGCGAACAAAGTGCCGGAAATAGGAGCATAGGCCTACAAAACTGCGAAGTTCTTTCATGGTCGTCGGCTTGGGAAATTCTGCGACTGCTCGAAGTTTTGCTGGGTCAGGTGATACGCCGTGCTTGGACACGATGTGGCCTAGAATGACGAGCTCGCGTGCAGCGAAGCGGCCTTTTTTCAGGTTAAGCTGCAGGCCAGCATTGGTCGGACAAGTCAAAACGTGCCCGAGGTGAAGGAAGTGCATAGGAAAATCATGGGAGAAAACCACGACATCGTCGAGGTAACAGAGACACATATTCCACTTGACGCCACATAGCGTATTATCTATAAGACGTTCAAATGTGGCAGGCGCGTTACAAAGCCCAAAAGGCATGACGTTAAACTCGTATAGTCCGTCTGGTGTAATAAACGCCGTTTTTTGGCGATCGGCTTCAGCCACTGGGACTTGCCAGTAGCCAGACCGCAAATCTAGCGACGAGAAGAATTTCGCTCCATGAAGCGTGTCAATGGCGTCCTCAATGCGCATCAAAGGATAGACGTACTTGCGGGTTATCTTATTCAAACGACGATAGTCCATGCAAAATCGGATAGATCCGTCTTTCTTACGCACGAGGACGACAGCAGACGCCCAGGGACTGTGGGATGGTCGAATGACATCTCTACGAAGCATATCTTCGACTTGAACATTGATGCGGAGACACGGTATGGTCTTTGACGCGGTGGCTGGTGCAGGCCGGTGTCAACATGATACTTGACTTGTGACGTGCGGCCTAGTTGAGGTTGCGACACATCGAAAGAACTCCTGAACTCATGCAGAAGATACAGCAGGTTGTGGGAATTGAGACTAGCCCGCTGCCTTTGTGCGGGGTTTGCCGCCTTTTCTGCTGTTCTCACGTCCCGACATGTCTCCCCTCCTCTGCTGTCTGCCGCGCTGGGAGAGCGGAGTGACGTTTAACTCCCTCACTCGGTAGCGGATGTTGACTATGGCCCCGCCCGCGGAGTCTCCCAAGGGGTTTTCGCGTGCTGCG